ACACACACATACACACCACACACACACACACACACCACACATACACCACACATACACACACACATATATATACAAACACTACACATACCCCCCACACACACCACACATAAACACACACACATACATACCACACGTACACAAACACCACACATACACTTACGCATACCATACATACCCCACACACACATAAACACACACGCGCGCACACACACGCTCACACACACGCACACACACACGCATACCACACACACACCACCACCACCAGCAGCACAGCAGATATTCCACGGGGAAACTGGAGTTTGCCTGTGGACTCTAGCACCTTCCCTGGGGTGGGGATGGTCGGGGCATATTTGCGGGGGACCCTCTCTCGCCCCGCCGTTGCTCCCCCGGATCACGGGTGGGGTGAGTCTGCCGCAGCAGAAGGCAGCCCCTCCTTTGGATGAGGCTCTCCTGGGAGATGAGCGAAGGGGACGTCTTCGGAGGACGGAAACCCACAGTCCTGGAGCTCGGGCTGCCCGGGAGGCCGGAGGGACCGGGGTGGGAAGGGGAACGAGGGCGGAGGCGAGGGGCCCGGGCCTCCCTTCCTTCCTCGCCCTCGGCCCTGGAGCGCACCGGCTCCTCCCACTCCCGCAGGCTTCCGGCCGCACCTGCGCGGCCCCACCTTGCCCTCCCCCACTCCCAGGTGGTGGCTGCTCCTCTGGGGAGTCCTCCAGGCTTGCCCCACCCGGGGCTCCGACCTCTTGGCCCAGCAGCTACCCCAGCAGCTGACTTCTCCTGGGTACCCAGAGCCGTATCACAAAGGCCAAGAGAGCACCACGGACATCCAGGCTCCAGAGGGCTTTGCTGTGAGGCTCGTCTTCCAGGACTTCGACCTGGAGCCGTCCCAGGACTGTGCAGGGGACTCTGTCACAGTGAGCTGGGGATGGGGGGTCCTGCCAGGACTGTGACCAGGGAGACTCCTGGGGTTGTGGGGAGTGGTGGTGCCCTGAATCACCCATCTGGAGGAGGGATGAATTTTCCATTTAGGGGCAGTGGGGCTCGGCTTACCCAGGGAGCAATGGTGGGCCCCAGGACACAGCCTCCCACCAGCGCCTCCAGGACCATCTGGGCCCCACAGAGCAAAGCGGCAGCAGGCAGGCCCTGCATTAGGAAGACTCATGAAGGGACACACAAATCTTGCAAATCTATTGAGCCAGGGCAGGGACTCTCACATGCGTTGTTAAAAACGTGTCATCATGGTGGGGCGCGGTGGCTCACACCTGTAATCCCAGCACTTTGGGAGGTCAAGGTGGGCAGATCATGAGGTCAGGAGTTCGAGACCAGCCTGACTAACATGGAGAAACCCCGTCTCTACTAAAAATACAAAATTAGCCGAGTGTGGTGGGGCACGCCTGTAATCCCAGCTACTCCGGAGACTGAGGCAGGAGAATCACTTGAATGCAGGAGGTGGAGGTCGTGGAGAGCCGAGATCAGGCCATTGCACTCCAGCCTGGGCAAAAAGAGTGAAACAACGCCTCAAAAAAAAAAAAAAAAAAAAAAAAATCATGTATTTGTTGAGTGCCTGCTCTGTCATGTGAGAAAGCTGGGCACAAATAATAACAAAAGATGAAGTCATCATTCACACTTACCTTAGAAGAGCTACCACAAACCTTCTAAGGCCAACGCCTTATTCAGAATAAGGACATTTTAAAAACAGCACTTGATGTAGTGATGCAGGCCCGTAGTCCCAGCTGCTCAGGAGACAGAGGGCTGGAGCCCAGGAGTTCAAGGCCAGCCTAAGGAACATAGCAAGACCCCATCTCAAAAATAAGTAAATAAGTAATAAATAAAAATAAAAAGACCACATCATCTTTTGATTTAAATTTTACTTATAACAAAATGACATGCACATAATTTTTTGAACTTTATTTTTAAATTTTTAATTATCATGGGTGCGTAATAGTTGTAACACTTTTTTTTAATTAAAGTTTTCTAAGGCCGGGCACGGTAGATCATGTCTGCATTCCCAGCACTTTGGGAGTCTGAGGCGAAAGGATCATTTGAGACCGGCATGGACAACATAGCAAGACCCCATCTCTACAAAAAAATTTAAAAATTAGCCGAGTGTGGTGGCACTCACCTGTGGTCCCTGCTATAAGGGACACTGAAGTGAGAGGATCACTTGAGCCTGGGAGGTAGAGGCTACAATGAGCTCTAATTATGACACTGTACTCCAGGCTGGGTGACAGAGTGAGACCCTGACTCAAAAAAAAAAAAAAAAAAAAGGTTGAGCAAGGTGGC